GCGTGCCGAGTTCCAAGCGGCCTACTTACCCGCAGACTCGCCGAAACCTTGGGATCCCCCGAATACTGTGGATGGTTGCGAAATCCATTCCGCATCACCGAAGAGGCCCTGGAATGATTCGATTCCCCAATGTAAGTACCAACGAACACTGGCTTCAACCATGGCTTTAAAGTGGTGCGAACGGATTTCGTCCATCCACAGTAGTAAGTATGCCCCGTTTTTCCCCAACAGCTGAAAGCTTTGGGGTCTCAGCCCAGATAGGCTCCGGGGTGGTCCGGGGCAGCCCTGAGGTAAGGTTCCACCAGGGTTCCACCAGGGTTCCACCAGGGTTCCACCAGGGTTCCACCAAGGTTCCACGAGGTTCTACAAGGGCGGGGTGGTGCGAGCACTAAAAAAAAGCACCGCATGCTGTTGGGGGATATCACCTGAGCTTATTCTGTCCATTTTAGTAGGGGAACCCTCCCAACCAAAAAAAAAGGTTAAAAAGCACCAATCGCTGGGGGACCTAGTCACATATGGGTGCACATGTCTTTTTATGTTTTGACTGCCGCTCCGCGAAGTTGCAAGCCGCTGCCACCTTCAGCTTCAAGCGATCTTCTCAATGCCAGGAAAAGCTGAAAAGGAAACCAACCACCAGGGGTCTCACAGCCAGAGCGCAAGCGTTGGCCGTGTCCAATACCGGTCTTTGCCATCAACCTCAAAGGACACCGGACCAGACCGGCTCACCACTCAAAGTTAAGTTGGTTTGCAAAGTTTATTTGATGTTATCGTTCTTAAACAAATAAGAAAGAACAAGACAAACAAGGCAACAGGTGAAACAATTTCCCTGCAATGGCCATGCTTCCCTACAAACAGCTTCGGGGCTGCCCTCAGATCCCCCGCTAAAAGTTCAACTTTTCGTGGGTGAAATTCGGAAACTGCCACTAGACCACATTCAAAGCTACAAGGCCAAGTTGAACCGGATGGATGATCGGAGCCACCAAGGGGACACTTTTCTTGGTGGGAACGCCATGGGGAGCCTACAAGAAGCTGATCTTGGAGCCCTAGATGTGCCATGTTCGGGATGCTTCCCTACAACAAGAGCTCCGGCAGGTCGGGCGCAAGAGCTCTCGGTCTGGGCTCCGGCTGCTCTGCCGCCGCAGGCACGGCCTTGCCCAGCAGGGAGTGAAGGTCCTCTCAATTCTGAAAGGGCCGCGGGTCTGGCGCAATATGTGAAGGGGGAAAAACTGGAAATGTATGGCTAGGTCCTCCAGATTTGAGAGGCTAGATTTTTTGGGTAACCGTTGTTTTTCTTGTTTGTCTATTTTAGTGTGGAACCCTCCCCAAAAAAAGGGTAAAAGGGCACTGCTGGAGGACCTAGATGGGGTCCCTTTTGTGCAGCATCATGGAACAATGCAATCCAACACATTGACGTGATGCCAGGGGCATGCTCTTTCTCTATTGACTTTTGCTGCAACAAGACGTTCGTTTTCAAGAACTGGGCCTCGGATCCTTGGAGCATGTATATAGATAATTACATATATGTATATGTTTACAAGCTGGGACCCTGGTTGGGAACGGCTTGGCGCAAAAGCATGAGACCGTTGAGGGCACGGTACCAAACGAAACTCCGCAAAGCTCTCGGCACTCCCATCCTCCATCGCTTTGAGCAGCATCCTGGGTGACCGTGGTGCGAAAACGAGTTGCCCCTCGAAATGGTTGGCTTGCTTGTGGCTTTGAACTCCATTTCTGGGATCCTGCAGTTTTCACTCGGCGTCTCTCTCTTCTTGACTCCTGCGTAAGTGTGAAACTGCGGTGCCAGTTAGCACTGCAATAGGTAGCCAAAGGACAAATCAACATTGCCAAGAACCGGGAAAAGTTCCTGGTTTCCAGCTGCAGTAAGCGGGACCTGAATCTGTTTCCTGTGTAAAGAGGCAAGGACCTATCCAACCGTTGTGAGGGCGTCGCCAATGGACAGGCATGCATGCCCTCAGCCTATGAACTCTCCCGTTTTCATGAGCTACTTCGCCGACTTGCATGGGCAATTGTTGCAAAACCCGTACTTGCTGCGGTATCTTGGTGCTGCATGTATCCTATGATGTCCCCTTTGCCGCAGTAGATGGCTGCAATATGCAAAGTGGAAGGCGTGGAAATATTATGGACATGGTAAGCATGCATCAACTGCTCCCAGTTGCAGAGGCATGCTTCTTTGCTGATCCACCTGTTTGTTACGCACACTTGGCACTCCCGTGTGCAAGGCCTTCAATTTTCTGTGCTTAAGTCTTGCCTAATTATGAAGGAGTGAAGCCGCTGCTTCGCGAGTATCTATCCTCTTGCCACTGCGTTGGCACTACACTCGACGGCATGGGACTACCGCGCTGTATCCGTTCTTATGTTTCGTTCTCGACTCAACATGCTCCAACAAGAGCCGGATCTCGTCCATCTTCCATGAGGAGCCGGTTTTTCGGAGCTCAACTTATAGCGTTCCGAGTTCATGGACACGAAATCTCTCCAGATTTGTCCCGTGCCGTCATTTCACATGGCGTGCAACACATGAGTGCGAAAGCAAGAAACGGTGCACTTGTACGGTCATGGAAGACATATCTACTGTTCACTGGCTTCGAGTTGCACAATGTTCTGCTTTCCTGCTTTGTCTTGTGACCCGCCTCCATCTCCATCAAAACAGCATCCTCAGGCCTATTGAGTCCAAACAAAACCTTGGCATCGTATAGTAAGAGTCTAGTCTCCCCAGTCGACACAATCATGCAAGGCGCAAAAACCCTCACGGATTTCTGGCCCAAATCATCCCCACTACCCCGCAAATGACCAGAACATCTCTTTTGGAGTGTGCTGCAATGCCCGCACTCGCCATATCGACCCATCTCGGCCATATGGCTGTGGGTCAAAACCAATGGGATCCCATTTTGGGGTAGGTGAATTCACCACCCATTTTAGAACCTATTTCAGTGGTTGGATTGGGATGGCTTTAACTGGGGGTACGATTTAGATTTTGACCCACAGCCATATCGACCCCCTGAGACCCAGGCGACCAAGAGCCGTGGTTCTGCTGCTGCCGCTTCTGGAAGCCATCGTAATACGCGGACCTGCCGCGTTTTCGTAAGGAACCCCAAGGCCAGTGGTGAGGCTTGCAGTCAACGTCAACAGCATGGTCTCACCTCAGATTTCACACGGGCGGGGTCGGGGTGAAAAAGGTGGGAGTCCACCTTGGAAGAAAGGGAAAAGGCTGGCTGTCAGGACCATGTCGCAAGGATGAGGTAGCAAAGCATGTTGGCCCCCGCGAATATCAATGTGCAGCAGAATCGCTTATGGTTAAGCCGTAAGGACAGGTCCAGTTGGGTACAAGTAGAGGCAGCCCCCAGTTTCCCTTCGCTTGTCCACGGAAAGGAACTGGTGCCAGCTACTTTCGCCCTAACCTAGGCCTCCAGTAGAGAGGTTAGAATAAGTTGGTACCAACTTTTTTTCTGTAGTCTATTCTAGTAGGGGAACCCCCAAAAAGGGTGAGAAAGGGCACTACTGGGGGACCTAGTAACTCAAACCAAGTACAGCTCTATGGATCGGGCCAAAATCTGGCATGGGCCACGGCAAAGCTCCTGAAATTTGGATGCAAATCACTCCTATCCAAAAATCTTCCGGGGCATTGGCTGCTTCTCCGACCAAAAAAGTGAAGAAACCATTTGGGGATGGTGATTATGATGTGTTATTTTTGGATTTCTTGTGCACACATTCTTCATGCATTTGATACACTACGCATGCCACCGCTTACATTTCCCCATGTACCTCTATCACTGTCAATTATGTTTATCCTTTCGAAGTATTTTATTTGTGTGGTTGTATTACCGAAAATTGGTTGTTAACACCATGAAAATCATTAGCAATATCACTGTCACATGATTATTACTGATACTATTACGAGTAAGACGGCTGTTATCATTATTATTGTTCTCGTTCTGTTCATTAGAATATATCATTACTCTTATTTTGTGGTAGTGGCGGTCATCCGTCATCCTCGTAGTACCATTACCATTATAATTATTACTATGATACGTACCCTTCCTCCCACTAACATGGCACCAGTGGGAGGGACCTGGAAGATCAGTTTCCTTTTGGAGGGACCCTATGTCAGGTGCCATGGCAACGTGGGAGAGAGTGTATCATGATGGTTAAAATATTTTACTGTTTCGTTGTGAATTCTCTCCTACCATTGCCGTCTCTCCTGGCGGACAGGTTTTCAGGTGTTCGAGCCGAAATTCGGGATGGCTGGAACATCGTCTTACCGGTTCCGGGGGGATATGTCAGAATCTCTCAACCCATAGGTGTCCTTTTGGTAAAATAGATGGGTTCTGGCTATCGGGGCATACGCCCAATCTAAACCAGTGGAACCCCAGCTCTTTCTAGATCCCAAGGACTCCTATGCCTCTTCCGACTTACCCTCAAGAAGGGGCTCAGCTCCCCAGACTTTTCTTGTGGCTCAAAACCCATGCCTTTCTTGGGGATGGTTACCACTCCACTGTTGACTGTTCACCTGGCTGTGGGTCAGAAAAAAAAAGGAAACCCCAAAATTGAACCTTGGTAAATGGAAACATGGACTTAAACCTGGCTGTGGGTCAAAAAAAAAAAAGGAAACCACAAAATTGAACCTTGGTAAATGGAAACATGGACTAAAAGCTGCGGTCCCCTAGTGGTTTAATTCTGACCCACACCCACCTAATAGCCACGCATCAAAACCAACCAATCAGGGGTTACCTGAATGACCCTCTCGCCCAATCTCCCGGGACTCGCCCAAGGCTTTTTCTAGCCGGGCGAGACTCGCGCTGGGCGAACTGTACAACCGCCGCGCCTTTTCGCCATCGAAAGGATACAAACTTGGGCCACTGAAGAGAGTCTTCTTCCGGAGTCAAAAGCTGATCCCGGGTTTCCATTGAAACGATGGCCACGTTTGAAGATTCCACAAGGGAAACAAAGGACACCTGGTGTTTCCTTTTTGTTTCCTTTTCCAGCCTTCACTGGAATCTCTTAAGCATGTGGCTTTTCGATGTATCCTTCTACCAAACCCCTTGTTTCGGGCTCAGCCAGTGATTGGCCCCGCAAGAGCTCAGGCGGGGGTAAGTCGAAAACAATGGGCGCATTCGTAGGCCTTAGAGCGCAACGACGACGAACAACTTCGTGGTGCTTAGAAACCGGAGTTTCTCAAAATGGTACACACCCTGGTATGTAAGGGAAACCAAAAAGGAAACCAGGCAGTTAAGGGGCGGAACCCTATTTCAGAAAGACCCAAACTGGAAACAGCATTGCTGGAGGTTGGTAGGATGGCAATAAACCCCTGAGATGGGAAGGTTGCACAACTATGGTAAGGTTGGAGCTAAACAACCATGAAAAAGGGTTCTCGTTTTGGGTGGGGCACAAAGGGGTCTGGGAGTGTCAAGCATTTGAACAATAGTAGCGAGCTGTTTGGCCAGGATGTTTCCCTTCAGGGTCATTCTCTGCTTCAGTTCTGAGAACCCTGGCTGTGAACTTTCATGGGGAACCAAACAGTTGGACATAAATCCCAAACGATGTCCCACCAACGGGTCCCGAATTGACATGGCATACGCATTACGCATCTCAGCTTTGCTCGAATTCCACGGTGGGTTTCTCGACACCAACCTCAGTGTACCCTTGCCAAGTCTCCGACACTTGGGTAGAAATTACGCTCGTGGCTAATGTCAAAGGCGTACCAATCACTCTGTTTCGAAAAAAGGTCTGTTTGGAAACTGTTTTTTAAGCACAACAAGCCAGAGAAAACCACAAGAAGCTATGCAATCCCCACAACTTGTAGTGCAAAGCGAGAATGGGCCAACCAATGGTGATGCTACTCTGACCCCAACTTGAATGACCACAAAAACATCTGGACTAACAGCCATCCCTTGCCCCATAGGTAGCGCTGACTCAGGCCGAGTTGCCTGTAAGAGAAGGTGCAAGTCGAGGCATTGATGAAAAGGGTCTTCCCAACTTCAGTGCATCCATAGCCCTGGCCAAGCATGTTTGCGCCGAGTGATCTTGCCACCCCTCCCAGCACTTTAGTGCCTGAATTCGTTCGCTCAGAAAGAAAAACTACGCGTAAGGAGGAGGTTGCAAAGGTAAGCTTGCTCTTTCTCTCTTGTTTTTTCTTCTTTCATTATTTAGTTATTCAATTCTTTCCATCGTGCCTTTTTTCTTTTGTTGCTTATTGTTTCTTTGTGTATTTCTTCTTTCCTTCATTCCTTTCCAAACCACCCGTTTACCCTCAAGGAGGTTCACACCCAAGATGCGCAAGAATGACGTTGTGCGTGAAACATGGACTGCATGCTATGTGTCACAGCTTACTCGCCGCACGGACCAGGAAGTCAAATACAAATCTAAACCACCATGAACCCCCAAAAGCCACCAAACCAAACCACCAATGAGCGGACACCTGATTGAACAGGTTTGCATGAACAGGTTTGTATGCTTTCCAGCAGGAGAAATATAGCGTCAGGCGGCCAGGCGACATGGAGAGAAAGAAAGAAAGAAAGAAAGAAAGAAAGAAAGAAAGACAGAAAGAAAGAAAGCAAAGCAAAGCAAAGCAAAGCAAAGCAAAGCAAAGCAAAGCAAAGCAAAGCAAAGCAAAGCAAAGCAAAGCCAAGCAAGCAAGGAAAAGAAACAGAAAAAAGAAAGAAATCAAAGGAAGGAAGGAAGGAAGGAAGGAAGGAAGGAAGGAAGGAGGGAGGGAGGGAGGGAAGGAAGGAGGCAAGGAAGGAACCCAAACCACCAATTTGAAAAACCTGGACCCATAAACAGCACAATTCCCGGCAATTTTGGGGCAACAAAAACCATTGTTTGTTGAGTTTTGAGGGTCCAGATACCCCGAACACCTGTTCAACACCGACGCAGGATCGCCCCGCTGGTTCAACCGCTGGCCTCATGGATGTGGCCGCTCACATGCACCGGAATCTCCCGCTGCCTCAGAGCGACTGTCGCGCCTGGCACTGAGTCATAATCAAAGCCCGGTATTCAACAAACATGTCCACCCAGTCTAAGGGTTTTTGTGTTACACCGTTACACCCTGGAAATACACCCATCTCTTTCTAGATACACCTAAAAATCTAAGGGGGATATGCAAATGTCCAGGTGTTGATTCCTTTTCCATTCTTTTCAACCATTGTTCTTTTCAAAACCCGGATCGATCTGTTTCCAACCTGGGTTTTTGGATGGTTTCCTGAAAAGATTCGGATCCCTGGAAAGAATGGGGACGGTACCACTAGAAAATGGTCCACCCAGAGCCATGCTTCAAGAAATAAGAAGGCGGACATCCGCGGCTATTTATGGTTGGGAGTGCTTCATGTACCCGGGTTTGGATTGTGGCGCACATGGAACTCAAGGAACCCAACAACGCCCCACCCCGCCCCCAAAAGCCAAAAGGAGCTTCCTCGGGAAGGGCTGTTTTGAGGCTCCATGTTAGAGACCATCTCTGACCCCTGGACAGAGATCCGAACAGGGCACGGATCACATCGCCGGGTGCCAGAACCCTTTGTTTCCGGTGCTGCAGCCAATATCGGATACCCGAATCCCTCTACCGCATTCCTACCCCTGCAATTCTTCCTACCTCTGCAATTTGATGAAGCTAAGCGTCTTGATGGCAGTGAGCAAATCTTCACATCCGGCGTGAAGCCCGCTGTTGCAGTGGTCTAGGATTCCTGACGCACCAGCACACTGTGATGATTCAGCTGCGATAATATGCCTAGCATCTTCAAACATCCATACATAGAATCTCGTGTAATCCTGCCACAAAAGCGCTGATGCCTCATATGACACCGGCTACTTGATTCAATAGAATGCAGTTGGCTGAAGGAATCGCGCAGCTTGATCACACTGGCAAAACAACATGAACTAGGTCCTCCAGTAGAGAGGTTCGAATAAGGGTACCAACTTTTTTCTGTGGCCAATTTTAGACACGGGGAACCCTCCCAACCTCAAAAAGGGACCTAGTAAATCAGCCAGTGGGCGCACACATTCCGTTCTCTTGCCGGCGCTCCGCACAGATCGAGTCTCCCAAAAAAGACCCCGCCACATGAGAATCGCCGTATCTCTTGAATGAACCCAATGGCCTCCCAGGTTTGACATGCCACGCCAGGCACAACGTGTCCAACTCCAATTGCCATTGGCCATCAACGAAAAGCTTTGGCCATGCATGAAGCTTCCCCGGCATTGTGCATTGATCTGATGTCAATGGCTTGCAATGAAGAGAAACACGACTCAGCCTCTCTGCCATTTGCTTAAGCCCCCTGGAAAAAAAAGGAAGATATTTCTAGTAGTGATAGATTCCCTCTAAAACCAACAGGGGAAAATAGCAACTATTCATTTCAGCAAATGGAAGCTCTTGTTTGGCGGCTGTTGGCACACCCCTCATTTTCAGCCCATCCCAAAGGAACCAACGAAAAGGCTGGCAGCTGTGGAAGAACCCAAGCCCCGCCGCCTTGAGCAGGACCATGCGTCATCAGGATGTCCACGGTGTCCGGGATTTTAGCCCAGACCTGGCTCAACGAGTGAAAATGAAACACACACAAAAAAGAAGAAGACTCGGGTGCCCTGGAAGTGCTACAAGCCCATGTTGTAACTCCCTTTCTTCACATGGAACACCCAAAACCCCGCCCAATTCTAAAGGAGACTCTTTTTGTAATACAACCATTTCACTGAATCGGCACTGCTTGGGTGTCACCCTTTCGGGCTCCGCCCCTCCCGAGAAAAAAAACAAAAACAAAAAACAAAAACAAAAAAACACCTCCCACGGCTCGATCCGATCCGATCCGCTCGCCTTGGCGAGGGCTTCGCCCCGCGGCAGGTTGAAGGCCCAGTCGCAGAACTCCGGCTGCCACGGGGAGCCGTAGATCTTGTACCTCGCATGCGTACCTATCACTTCATATGGGCGTGTCATTTAAGGAACCCATATGACAAATGCTGGGTTCGCTTGGTTTTCGGGCGCGCGCCTGTGGCTCACGGGGTTTAGGGGCGCTCGCCTGTGGCGGTGCGAACGGGTTAAAGCGTGCGCCTGTGGCGGCCATCCAGGCTAGCCAGGCTAGCCGGGCTAGCCCGCGGTCCCACGTGACGCCATGGAACGAATTTGTGATGCCCTCAACAAAAGGAAAACATGGGCCAAAGGACCCTCTGGATTGGGCCCATGAGAGCCTCCAAACTTTTGAGTGGGTTTTCGGCTCATGGTTTTCTGAAAACACGGGTTTCGACGTCAAGCTTCGGGCCCTGTGTTCAGCCGCTTCGAGGTTTTTCCGGCCTCGTTCTCACGGGCTCACGGAGGAGCCCCAGGTTTTTGCTGGGCCATGGGAAATTGGAAGCAAGGAGCCCCGTAACCTCCAAATACCCGGCCTTTTTTCAGGGTATCATGTCGACCCTCTACATATTTACCATGGAAAACCTGTTTTTTCGGTTTTCCCCAAAACATACCCTGAAAATAAGCGGGTATTTTGAGTAGGGGGGAGTACAAGAACTCCCCCCTTCTCGCCACCCTACCCATGAAATCCGGCCGCAACCTGCCCTGGTTTGGGTGACTCTTCTGGATCTATGGAGCTTGCAACGGTTGTCTTGGAAAGAGCGCCCAATAGTGGCCAAGTGCAAGTGCAGTTCCGGAGGGGGGAGGGAAACTCTCAAGGAGTAAGGAGTGCCACGGCGAAACATGTCCACTTGCTGCTTGGCGAAGTCAGAGAGCTGCCACTTCTGATCGATGCGACATAGCCACAGCTCTGGCTTTAGCCATGAATTGAAACTAGGGACCCCCTTGCTGTTTTAAAACAATGCAAAAGCAAAGCAAAGCTCACCATTTCCAGGGGTTCCCAAGTTTGGGAAAAATCGAAACACACATTGCTCATAAGGGCCGCATCTGGGACAGGAACTATCTTCGAAAATCCCAGTGAAAGGTGCCAACTACGGGAAGTCCGTAACTGCCATGCGCTCAAGACCCCTGGAAAAACAACAAATCTTTCCAGTTGTGATAGATTCCTTTTAAAACCAACAGGGGAAATAAAACATATTCTTAAGCAAATGGAAGGTAACCTTTTACCACAATGTCACCAGACCTTACACAAGCTCTATGTTCAAGACAGGCAGTCTGGGCTGCCCTTCGTGAGAAACATGTTGGCTGCCTGCCCCGCTTATCTCCGTCTTTATTGAAGTGCGGATATGTTGGCATTCATAAGAATTCCAGCCCCTGAATTAGGTGTATCTTTTTGGGGGGCACCCACCATTGTTTCTTCCTTGTCGTTCCCCTTTAGATCACCAAAAAAGGGGTACCCTAAAAAGAACGACAAACGCTGAAAAGAAAAGGGTACCTCCCGGAACCGCCCCCCCCCAAAAAAAAGAAGACGTTGGTGTCCTTTTGGTTTCCATTTAAAACCACCAAACACAGGGTACCTTCCAAAAAAAACGACAAACGCTGAAATGCCAACCTCCCCAGGTTTTTTGCGATACGACGCCCTCAGGTGAGCGATTTTGACGAGGTGCCCCAGGACCTCCACTAGCTCATCTTCCAGATATATGCAGCTACCTAAGCTTGGTTGGCGTTGCAAGGGGAGCAACAATTCATTTTTTAGCAGTTAAGTGGATTGATTTCAACCACTAAACCACAATAAGCAAAAATATAAAATGTTTCCCAACGACAACCACGTAATCCGGGATCTTTTTCCGGGACAAAAACAACACAGGTGCCAAGTTTGTGAGCAAACACTGTTGCATGTGAAAATGCTATTGTATTGTTCTCTCTCTCTCTCTCTCTCTCCCTCTCTTGCTCGCTTTCTCTCTCTCTCTCTCGCCTTCTCTCTCGCTCGCTCGCTCTCTCTCTCTCCCTCTCTCTCTCTCTCTCTTTCTCTCTCTCTTTCTCTCTCTCTGTCTCTAAAGGTGCCACAAGGCAAAGTTGCCCACACTTCCGGGCCCCGGAAATCACGCCTACCTCACTGAGCAACACAGGACGCTTGGAATCAGCTGGAGAGTTCCACGGACAAACCCTATGCCACCCACTTCGGACCAAATTATGGCCCGCCCCAAATTTCTCAAATTGGTCAAGGGCAGGGGACTCGGCGGCATCTTTTCCTGAGTTTCAGCCGTCAAAAGCAAACGCCCTCAAACAAGGTTGGTGGACATAATCTCCACCTTGCAAGCAAGGGTACCTCAACAACACACACACACACAGCCATCCGGGTCTGTCGGTTTTTACCACCTGAAAATGTGTGTTTGCCTTTTGGTCTTCCTTTGAAACCAACCAAAAAAGTTTGGCAACACCTCTCATGTTTTGTGTGCCTTGTGGTTTTCCTTTAAAACAACCCAAAAGAGGGCGCCGAGCCTCAAAAACAGAGACACCCAAATCAAAACTCGTCCAGGCGCCGGCCAGAGCCGCCTTCGCCTCCGCGCACATGGAGGTCTTCTTCATCTTGGCGAGGCAATAGGCCTCAGAGCTTTTTCCCAGGGATCCCCTAGACTCCGCTGTTTGGTTCTTGTTTGTTTGTAGCACCAGTTGGCAAATGTTAAGTGATTAGATGTTCTTTTGTCAATATCACCAGCTAGGCAAACCTATATTTTCCTCTTTGGTGCTTCTTTGTCCATAGCACCAGTCGGGCAGTATATTAAAGTAATTAGGTGTTCTTTTCCGAATATCACCATTTGGGCATTTTGTTAAGTGATTGCGGTTCCTTTTGGTGGGGTGATGCGGCAGGTGTTTTGGTTGGGTACCCAATGTCTTCAGGTGGTTTGCACAGGACACAGCAAGGAACACCAAACACCATTTTGGGGGGGACTTTTGTTCGCGTTTTGGGTTTGTAAAGGCATCTAGGAGAGATCGCCATGTTTGTTTGGGGGGGTGCCCTATTTTGAGACGAACCCACATCCAAACCACCAGTCTAAACACCGCCGCTCAAGTCCTGAACCGTGCATAGAATACAATTTAAGACATATTGCTTAAGCAACCTCCTGTGGGCGTCCTTTTTGACATAGACCGAATCCGGCCAGGTTCAAACCATTGAACAAAAATTCCCCCCGCCAAACACAAGCTTAGGGTGGCACCTTTGGTGGACATCAGAACTGGGTGATAATTAATGTACCACTTGTGAGGCGGTCCCCTTTTACTGGGCGGTCATGAGATCCCCTGCTAAAAGTTGAACTTTTAAACACAACTAAACACCTTAGCACACCAGACGCCTCGGCACCGAGATATATAAAAGAAGAACCAAACAAAAACACCAATCACAGCCACAGTCACATGGCTGCGCTGAACTTTTCCTTTTCCCGCTTCACGCGTTTGTCGCCTCGTGGAAGCTGAGGTCGTGGTTGCCGGCGATCACCACCTTCTCCTTGGCCGGGTAGTCCTTCAGCCACTGCGCGAAGCTTCGCACCTGGCGCCGTTACTGCGCCAATCTCACTTGCTCCCCAAATGGAGGCTGCTTCATATGGCTGGTCAAAAATAGGTACATAAATGGGTTGCCCGGGTAAATAGAAACATGGACGAAAACCTGCGGTCCAATTCCTGGTTGAACTTTGACCCATATCCTTGGACCCCCAGTGGCCATGGGGGAAAAAAGAACGGGATCCTTTTTTGGTTGGTTCCGCCACATTGCTCAAGACCCCACCCCACCCAATTGGAATGAGTGGAGCCCACATCCCGGCCGAAGCCAAAAATCAGGCCGTCCCACTAAGGGGAAGGGCAAAGCATGAATTAAATATATTTTGCAGGTTGAGTTGAAAGGGGAACCCTTCCAAAAAAGGAAAAAGGGGCGGAATCCACTGGGCAACTGGGTATGGGGCCCGGGGGCTGATCAATTTGTCCCATGGACGCTTGAAAAAACAATGTGTCACATTAAAATGGAAACTTGAAAGATGAGAATCTCCCAGTGAAATGGGAAAAAAGCTACCCATGGTCAGTTGAAGAACCAAACGGAATACTGTGCAAGCCCTACACGGCGAAACGGCCCGCAGACGCAGACGCCTGAATTGGAACCCAAAGCAGGACTTGTTCCCTACGCTAGACTCCTGCTCAAATAGAGCTTTTGTGTTGCTGTTTCTTTGGGGGGGGGGAGGTCCATGTTAATCTGCAGGCCAGAATTCATATTTTCTGGATTGGGACTCTTTGGTGCACATTCACATAACAAGCTTTGCCCTCCGATCATGTTTGAGGGCGTTCATTCAAAATTCATAGGTGCTTGTTGGTCTACAGGTGCTGCGTGAAGTTGCCTCTCTCTGGATTTCTTTTCGGCTCGTCTCATAAAAAGAAGCCCCCAAGATGGCCAGCTTCTTTCGGATTCCCCGTGGAATTCTCAAAAACAGGGGGAAGGGACTATATAAAGGTAGCCGAAATCACGCCGGAGATCGGCGGGCGATATGCCGCTGGGCCCCTCACCCTCGAGGAAGGGGATCTTGGGCGCTTGGACATGGGATCTAGGGGCACCTGGGCTGTAACTGATCCCCTGCTAAAAGATGAACAAAAATCAGTAGTGGGGGTCAGCCTAAACCTCCACATACCTCCACTAAACCTAAAAGCAACCAAAAACATGAGTGGGTGAAATGGAACCCCCCCCACTCAACCAACTGAAAACCGCTAAAAACCAAAGGAACCGGCGCCACCAAGCACTTGAGGCTATTCCTCTGCCTGCTCGAGCTCTCCCCGATCCGAAAAGTCGCCGGCATGTAGCAGCACCTGAGAACAACAAATGGGGTGTGGGTCAAAGAAGAGGTACCCAAATGCCCAAAATGGAACCCTGGTAAATGGTCACGAAAAATCGGTGTGGGTCAAAAATACGTACCCATGTTGAAGCCTTGGTAAATGGAAACAAGTCGACGAAAACCTGCGGTTGTTCTGGTGGTCTAATTTTCACCCATACCCAAATCCAAACAGATCCGATCCACCCTTGCCGGTGAAGGCAGGGATTGAACAGGAGGGCAACCATTGCAACACGCCTAGACCCTGTTCTGGGTCTGCGTCAAAAATCGTGTGGACCCAACCAAGGTGACAAGGGTCGCCTCAAAAGCCACAACCGCCCAACGTTGACATGTCGCCTGGCAAAGAAATGCAACTTACCCCCTACGCAAAATACCCGCTTTTTTCTTGGTATTGTTGGGAAAACCAGGTTTTCCACAGTAAATACCTCCTTTTTTAGTAGAGGGTCGACATGTTTGGAGTAGGGGGTACAAGCTCAAGGCCCAAAAGAGCATCTGCAAAGTGATCTAATGCACATTCGCACGAGCGGATCCCAGCCAGCATAGTAATCAGCCATGAACTCCAATTGATTTTCACAGGGCGGCTCCCTGAGATAACTACATTCTGCAAATTGGACGAAATCCGTTCGCACCACCTAAGAAACCCTGGAATGACGATTCGATTGTAAGAACCAACAAAATCGGCGGTTGGTGTTCCCACTTAGCTCAGCCCACCCATTTTAGCCAGTTAAAATGGGTGGTCTGAGCTAAAATAGCTGGTTCAACCCCTGAATAAAATGAGTGGTCTGAGATAGAAATTCGGATCCAACAAACAATGTGCTTAACCACGGTTTCAAAGTGGTGCGAAGTGGATTTCGCAACCATCCACCTAGGGAAGCCCAAGGTAGCCGACTACTTTGAGGGATGGGGAAGACACCCCACGAAAAAACCTCCCCCTTTTCTGTTTTTTTTCGGAGCGCGTCGGCTTCTGGGATGTGCTCCGGGCTGATCCTCGCGTGTCGGCCGTGAGTGTCCTGGGCTCAGGGCAAGCGACAAAGAGCAACAAAAACGGAGATGTGGTCAGGCGACTTTTTGGCCAAGCAAAACTCAGATGCCCAGTGGCCAGGGGGAAAAAAGGGCATCTTTTTTTTGGTTGGAACCCTTCCCGGGAACCGCTGGGCAACTGGGAAAACATGCGCCCATCTGGGCGAACTCTACCAAGGCTCTCACCCAAAGAAACATATGGGTGTGACTTTTTAATAGGGGGCCATTTGGTGGACATCATTTAGGTGGGATTTATCTCTACCAAGCACTTTGGAGGTGGTTCATTGAAACTCATAGCCATATGTGGTCAATACTCTGTATACGGCCTATGGTCTTCGGTTCCCGTAACTGGAGTCAATATTATGATTATTAAAGCTCCATAAGGATCCTTCCTACCAGCTGGATGACCATCCCTCATGGCGCATACGGCGCATGGACGAATTTGTTGCACCTAAGCAACCCTGGAACGCAGATGTCCCCTGCAAATACCAGCAAACCATGGTTTCGCACCTCGGTTTCAAAGTGGTGCGAGGTGGATTTTGCAACCATCCACCGAATGAAACCAAAGGCACCTCTTTTAGGATCATTACCTAGGTCCTCCAGTAGAGAGGACCTAAAAGAGTGGGTACCAACTTTTTTCTGTAGCCAATTTTAGTAGGGGATCCCTCCCCCAAAAAAAGTTGGTCAAAGGGCACTGGGGGACCTAGTTACCAGGTGGATGACCACCCCTAGCCCACGGGATCTCTTGGCTTTGGGCTCCGAACCGCTCACTTGCCCAAAGGACCCAGATATAAAAGGTTAACCTTTTGGGGCCATGACTAAAAATGTAAACCAAATCATGGAAACGAAAAGGTCAAAAGGTCGAAAGGTCGATTCGCTTTGGGCAAGTGAGTTGGACGCCTGTCCCTCGGTGTTTGGTTCAACGGAACCCGAGCTTCCCGAAACCTCGCCGAGCATCGCTGAAGCACACGAAGCGCGTCCAGCCTTCGGCCTTAAGCTGCCTGAGTTGCAATGCTCGGTGCTAGTTGCCCAGCTGCAAGTATTGGGCACACACATATAGTATATATATATATAACTTTGCGTTGTCATGCGTTCCTATATTTCTGTAATTATTAACTAATTAATTCATTTATCTATTTATTTATTTGTTGATGTATTTGATGCATGGGGTTGATGCAAATCTAAACTGCGTGTCTGTGATTTTGGATTTATTCCAACCATGTTTCTTTGACATAGAAAACACAAACAATGCTTTGATGTTTTTTGTTTGATGATTCAAGTCGGAAGTGCTTCTGGTGCTTGGACTGTTCGGCACGGAATCAACTTCTTGTTACCTCAGGCCATGGCTTCACACCATGCCACTTCTCTTGGCCCTTGGCTGGTGGCTCCAAATTCAGTGTAAGACTTTTGAGCTTCACCAAGCCAGTGTTGAAAATGGGGTCGAGTTGCCTCTGAGGTCAACTTGTGGGTCAAACTACCCGGGGGCCCCAAAATGGATGGGTTTTCTTGCGCTTGCCCTTGGACTTGTTGTTGCGGAGCTGGGGCTCGGCGGTTTCCGCAACACGAATGCCCATCCTGCGCTGACCTTGCAACCCAGGATTGGAGTTAAATATTTGGTCAGGGACAGCAACACGCCCCAGAAAACACCGGATTTCCCCTTCACAAGTTGATCAATAAATACGGGGTGGTTTCCATTAAAACTGCCACTTTGGGTGGCTCAAACACATGAACATGGAGGGAACTCTGCTCAAAAAAGGTGTTCCCAAGAAGTCCGAATTGAAGCCGGGCGGAGCTTGGGTGTGTGTGCAGTTCAGGCCAGCGGCTTATCTGCATCCCAACCATTCACCAGCCGTGCCACGGTGGTCCCAAGAACGGGAGGATCGTGGCGTTGGGAGGAATTCCCCATGGCGAAACTGAAACGGTCTCGTGTGCAATTCTCAGGGTGCACAACCTCCATATGCCCTTCTCACGGAAGTTCAGACGATTTCAGCTGGCGCGCCCAAATATCACTGCAATCATCCTGACACACCTCCCGTGTTTTGTTTGTTGCTTTGGTTTATCACAGCGGCACAAGCCACCAGGCATGCCGGCCACTGCGTCTCGAGCCGAAGCTGCGGAGCGGATGGCCATGCAGAAAACCTCACTTTCCAGCAAGAAAGTAGTCTTCCAATTTCAGGGAGGGTTACTACTTGTCTTCTCACACAACTCAACTTGCATGGCGGAACGTTCAAGGCAATTGTCCGGCACTCAGGTATCCTTCACTCAGAACCCCTCACCAATTTTCTCCAAGGAAGCTCCGTCATTTCCAGGATGGGTCTTGCTGGGTGGGGGTTGCCTTTGGTTTCCTCCAAAGTCATAACAAAACCGTCAAAGTCGTGTGTCTTTGTAGAGTGCCCCTTTTTGAGGTTGTCTTCATGGGAAATCCACAGCACAACCACATGTTTGGGTGGGCGGTTCCCCCGACTTTGAACGCACCCCCCCCCCCCCCCCCAATTTTCTTTTTTGGGGGGTGGGTCCCCTGATTTTCCAAGAGAACTCCCCCCCCCCCAATCCCCCCAACCCCCAACCCCAGCATTTTGTTTCTCGCTTGGCCGGATCCGTTTCCAACCTGGGTTTATTTTGATGGTGTCCTGAAAAGATTCGGATCCCTGGAAAGAATGGGGAAAGGTACCAGCAGAAAATTCCACAAAAGGAGCAAACCAGGTCTGTTTTTACCTCAGGATTTTACCCCATGATTTGCCCTCCCTGGGTTCAGAGTATGGACAAGGACTCCTGTGCCTCAGCTCCCAATGTACCCTCAAGGGGCTCAGCTCCCCATCTCAAAACCTGCCAAGGAACCCCATCGGAAGCCGGAGGCCTTTTCTACTTTTTGGGGGGTGGGGTCCCCCGATTTTCCAAGAAAACCACCCCCCCCCCCCCCGGCAAGAAGGAAGCCGAAGCGCGCGGAACGCGCTTTCCGACGCCTCTTCTTGAAGAGCTTCTCCGGCTCGCTGAGCTCCCCTTGCAGCGCCAGCTGCCGCAGCAGCTTCCGCGGCCTTCGTTCAGCGGATCTGAGGGGTACGGCTGGGGTGGGGTGGGTGGGGTGGGTGGGGTGGGGTGAGATGGGGTGGGCTGGGGTGGGGGATCCCTGGAAACCTGTTGGCTCCCCACTTTTTGGGGGAAAATCCCTTGCGCTCTTATATTGTGGATGGTTGCGAAATCCTAATCCTGCACCATGTTGAAACCGTGATTGAACCACCAGCTAAACCAGGAATCGCCCTTGATTTTGCAACCAGACCAACCAAAAAGGACGCCTAATTACTGTGGACGGTTGCGAAATCCACTTCGCACCACCTTGAAACCGTGGTTGGAAACCATTGTTTGTTGGGATTTGTATGGGAATCATCATTCAAGGGTTTCTTGGTGCAGGATTTCGTCCATCCACCGTAGGTCTTTTATCGAGCCCAAAACGCCTGGGATTGGAGGTAATCCCACAAAACCCGGCACGCCTGGCATTGTCAGTGGGGCCAAGCCCTGTAATGTTAACGCTGGAAGAATCAATACCACAGCCGCGTTTTCGGGATCCAATACTAAACAATTCTAAACTCTGACGCGGGCCGCTGGACCACCCCTAATTAGTACGACACGTTCGGCAGAACCACTTCTCCGCATAAAGCTGAGTTGATTTCAATTCCCAATTGAAACTTTATCCAATTTCCAGATGCATCCGCAATCCCACAGAGCGGCCTACAACTGAGAGTTGACCTTCTGGAGGGGATGGGGGGAAGGGGGAGGGTGTCTTCATCCAACCTTCAACATGATATTGATCTAACAGATTAGGTTAGTAACTAGGTCCTCCAGATTTGAGAGGTTATAATACGGGTAACTACATGTTTTTTTTTTTTTTTTTCTGTAGTCTATTTTAGTAGGGGAACCCTCCCCCAAAAAAGGGCGAGAAAGGGCACTACTGGGGTATTTAGGTAAAGTGTCTTGACTCTGGTGAGGCAAACTTGGGGAAACCAGCATACAAAACCGGGCAAAAGGTCACCAAGCGTTCCTGGTGACGGGTTTTTTAGCAAAGCAAACCCTCCAACTCTCATGCAAGCCGCTGGTTCGGCTTGCATCTTTAGCGCTTCCCAAAACCTGGGCCCAAAGAAACGGAATGGGCTGGGGGGATACGAAGCCGTGGTTCTCGCCGTGATAGGCGAAGAGCTTGTGAGTGAATGTGCAGCAACCGGCCCAAGGCTTGGGCCGCAACTGAAATGTCAGGCTCGGGCGGGTGGAAATCGGTGATTTTCAACATCGCTGGAGCCTGGGTTTGCACAACTTATGTTTGATAACCAACCAGTGATGTTAAATACATGTTGAATACGCTGTGGGCATCACTGGTTGGTGGCAGAGTGTGTTCTCTGCGCTTCCGATGTGTCTCAGCCGGGAAAAAAAAAACGAGGCATCCTTTGGTGGAGCCTGGAACCCAGTTCCGTTGCCCTGTATAGCAACCTAAGGAACCCGCCGTGCTTCAAACGCTGGGATCCGCCTAGATGGGATCCAGAAACGGTCCAAAGGCTCAGAAGTTTCATGAGCGATGGGCTCGAACCCATAGCGATACCCTTCGGGTCACCCTTCGGCATCGGCATCCAAGGCCACAAGACCCTCAGTCACAAACATGTCGCGCAGCGATGTGCAAAACACGAGGGCAACAAACCTAGGACTCCAAAGGTGGTGTCTGCACCCCCCCCCCCCACAAAGCCCTTGTTATACAATCTGTTCCTGAGGAGCTGGCAATTTCTTCTGATCTGCCTGGCGGCGGAAAGAGGTGCCATGAGGTGACACAGCGCTCGAAATGCTGCACCTGGAGTCTCCATGACCCTTTAAAAATGGGTCCATGACCCCATTATTTTGGGTAATGCCCCCATTGTTTAAGGGTCATGGAGACTCCAGGAACTATTCCGGTCAGAAGTCGTCATCGTCAGCGCCACCATCATCACACAAAGATAGCCATCGACATCATGAGCATATCCTCATCAGCATCGATATCGCCATCAACATCATGATCCGACATCATACATCATCCAACATCCATTATCCGTCATCCATTTTCAATCGCCAGCAAGCGACCATCGGTCAACATCAGCCTCAGCCTCTCCATCCATCATCATCTTCTTATTCATCTTCATCATCATCAGCATCATCATCATCATCGTCATCCTCATCCTCATCCTCATCCTCATCCTCATCATCCTCATCGTTATCGTCATCGTCATCGTCATCGTCATCATCATCATCTTCATCTTCATTCTCATCCTCCTCCTCCTCCTCATCCTCAATATCATCCTAATTCTCATCCTCATTATCATTATCATCCTCAATCTCATGACCACCATCATCATCATCATCATCATCATCATCATCAGCATCAGCATCAGCATCAGCATCAGCATCAGCATCAGCATCACCATCAGCATCACCATCACCATCATCATCACCACCACCACCATCACCATCAGCATCACCATCACCGACATCGTCACCATCGAAGCTTCCTCTGGCGCTAGATCAAGCATGATATGTTAGTCGTATCGAGCAGCAAGAACTGAAGTCATATCAAGTTGCCTGACTGTCATTTCACCATGGCAAAGGCTGACACTGCGTGCAAAGGAACTTCCCTCTGTAACAGTCCAGTCCAGAAGGGGCTCCTCCATACAAAGCACTCCCAATTGGATGCCCGGAGTTGGTCGATCCCAACCCCGTTTGCGCGCCTGCCCAAATAATGGGTGGGAATTTTAATGAGCGGCCCTCTGCTGGACATCATTTGGGTGGGGATTTATGTCCACCACCCATTTGGGAGGGGTTCCCCATTAAAATTCATAGCCATTTGATAATAGAAAATGAAAGCGCAGCCAGAATTCGGCTGATGCAGATCCCCCGCCCCCGCCGCCAGGATGTTCCCTCAAGTTGAGAGAAAGTATGCGAACAACATGACAAATCAAAACATATCCGTCTTTGCTTTCTGTCTTTTGAAGAGAAACAAATCAAAATATGGCTGCGGCTCAAAGAAACGGAATTCCAAAATGGGTTGCCCTGGTAAGTGGAAACATGGACCAACACCTGCGGTTTGCCCCTCCTATGAACATTTTGACCCACAGCCATATGGCCATGGGTCAGAACCCCGTACCCCGCAGTGAACATCCCAATCCAACCACTTAAATCGGTTCTAAAATGGGTGGTGAATTCACCTACCCCAAAATGGGATCCCATTGGTTTTGGACCATGGCCATGTCTTGGTGACCTTGGAAGGGGAGCAAACATCTCAATTTTAGCCGCTAAGTGGTTGGATTTCAACCACTAAACCGCAGCCAGGCTCCGTGGCACCTGGAAACATCGATTCCCCCAAAGAACCTCGGCATCACTTGCCCAAAGGACCCAGGTTTTATAAGGTGATCACCTTTTGGGGCCATTTTTCTAAAAATGGAAACCAAAATGTCAAAAGGTCAAAAAATGGAAACCCAACGGTCAAAGTGAGCTCAAAAATCATGGACACCAAAAGTGGTCCGATCTGGTCGCTTCGCTTTGGCCAATGGAAACCCTCCGCATCCGGGTCCGGGCCTCGAAGGTGGCCTTGGACTCGGCCAAGTAGCGTTGGGTGTTGGCCTGGCGCGGTGTCTCGCTCGCTGATCCGGGAGAAGCCGCGCGAAAAAGGAAAGCCCCTGGGGCGAAAAAATTTGGCCCAAGCGCTGGGCAAAGCAGATTAAAAGTGTTGAATTTCTGGAATCGATCAGTGGCTTAGGCACGATGAAGCTGAAAAAGCTCCGGCGGGCAGGGCTGGAACTCGTCCAGAGGTTCGAAGGGCAGTGGAGGTGCCCCAACCTTTGCCTCCCTGGAGTTTTAAGTGGCCCAAGCTTGTGAGCAAACCTGGGGAGCAACCTGTGTCTGGAATCGATCAGTGACTTAGGCACGATGAGGCAAGCCAAACAAAAAACAAAA